ACTGATGGGGAGAGGCTAATCTATAAGGGCAGTTACACTTTAAGAATCTAAAGGACCTGTCTGTTTCTGTGAAGGTATAAAATACAGTGTTATTTTTCTTCGCCGGACGTTTATTCCAAGATCTGGTCAAACTGAATTGTCCAAAGCACCATTTGTATCTGGTCCAGCTTTTTGCTAGTCACAAATGATTTTGCTCTTCACTGTCTCTTTTTGAGTTAAGCTATTCCTGTCTTCATGGATTAATTTCCACTCATCTATCTTGCTTTTCTCTTCCTTATAGCACTGCTCAAACATATTAAATCTTTACTGAAAGAAGTACTGAATTTTGTCTACCATGATAACAGAGCCTAAGGCACATTAGGGCAAAGACCAAGTTTAACACATAGCCCAGATCCCCTGCAGCATGGTGCATTCTATGTAGCTAATTACTGTAGCAGAAAAAGGCAGTAGTAAATTACTAATATAAACTTGTTCGGTGTTGTTGGGAATTAGATATAGTTGGTCATTTTTATGGGTGGCCACTTATTACAATGAGACTGTGACGACCGCATTTCCCTAAAGAGGAAGTACTAATCAATGCATGTGCTGCCTGCCTTGTATGTACCAGGCATTGATGTTTAATCTCAACTGCCAACTTGACGAGATCTGAAGGTCACTAGGAGATGGGTTCCAGGCAAGCCTGTGGGTGAGTACACTGATTGGGTTAACTAAGGTACTGAGGTGGAAGACCGACCACTGTGCATCACACCACTTCCTGGGCTGTACTAGAAGGGGAGAGTGAGTTTTTAAGCTCTGGTTCTTCACGGCTGATGCAAGGTCAGGGGCTGCCTTTGGCTCCGATCACTCTCGCTTCTTGACTAGGATGGACTGTAACTTTAAACTGTGAGCCAAGACCGAATCTTTCTCCTTTAAGGTGCATTTGTCAGGGTGTTATCTTTTTTATTGCTGAGATAGGAAACATAACTGAAACAAAGGTATAAAACGTGGCTGTACGATGGACATTACAAACGCTGGGATTCAGAAAGTTAATCTGACTGGCATGTGACTGAAATACATGAGAGAGCTAATTAGGGGAAAAAAGTAAGTGCTATACATAAGAGATTATGATCGGACTCATACATAATCAAAGAGAAATCTTCAGGAAGCATGCATTGCATCCTTATGGGTACAGCTAATCCAGTGAAATGCATAGGGGTGTAAGCAAAGTATTCTAGATGAGGAGAGACATGAGGGTGGGTGCACGGCTGAAATTTGTTCAGGGATTAAGTTGAGAAGCTGCTAAGGTTTGCTTTTCCAGGTTATTTAGAAGAAGGGAGATAATTCACAAAGGTTAAAACATCCGTGGTGAACCTGCACATGAACAGCCAAGGGAAGACAGTAGCTAAGGAGCCGTGCACTAACGTGTGGCAGATAATGACAGAACATACGAAAAGATGATGGACTCTATATGCTGCATAGTCCGTAATCCTAAAGCAACCCCATTCGTGGTTTACAAAAGAGCATTTTCTCCTTCGCTTTATAGAGCTGTCACTGCATATCCTGTAGATGTAAATGAAGTCAGTGTGCGGTGGGATAATTGTGATCTGAACTTCCATCTCTCGCCCAGGCATCTCTCAGGAGCCCACAGAGTAGGGGGAGGGGAGAGGAAGTAACTGTGCTAAGGCTGACAAGAAAGGACAGATACCAACTGAGCTAATGAGGGGACAACAAAGGATGAGACGTTCATTTCAGTCTCACCAACTTTCCAAACGCTGCCGATGAACTGCGGGCAGGAACAGCTCCGAATGGAAACAACTGCACATTAAACACACGTCTGGCCCATGCTAGCTTTGGTTTGGAAGTCGCACCATAAGCCCGTTATATTCTCATACTTTCACCTGGCCTGAGAGGGTCATTTCTGTCTCATTGTGCAGAAGCTTCACTAACCATAGTGTGACTACTGTTCTTGGTGGTCATCGTCTCTAACCGTCAAAGATTACCTCACAGAACCCCCCCCCCCCTGCTGTTCTCCCATCGATTATGTCGCTGAAAGTCTTGCAACTCAGTTTTGTTGCCTGGCTTTTTAAAATTCTAGCTAACATTGATTTTATTCAAATCAAGCAATCCACGCTGTTAGCAGTGAATAATTGACTCCCACTCCCATATACTGTACAAGCTGTTAGCATAATAGCTGTAAAGTGCTTCAGAAATCTGACACAAAAGTCTTTTGACATTATGTTCCAATGGAAGAATACACCTTTCTTTTCTCGTTCAGTCTCTCTTTTCTCCTGAGAGAATTTCTGCTTTATGAAAAGGTTCCCCACATGCAAACAGTTACCTCCTCTCCCCAAAGGACTGTGACTAACCCAAAGCAAGAGATAAGAGCTGAAGAGCCACACAGATCTCAAAGACAGCAGCAGATCCCTGCCTTCTCCTGTGCTCAAGTCCCTGGTTATCATGCTGGAACTGTGCACCAAGAGGCGACATACTCAGTTTAGGAGAAGGAGTTTTCTGCCCCCAAGAAACACTGCTACATGGAAGAATGGGAAGAAGGGTCTAAGGGCAATCTGGAATGACATCCGATTGTCTTCATTCTTAATGCCTTGGGTTGTATTTAACTCTCCTAAGTGCCGAAGAATAGTCTGTGCTATTTGTCAATGACTATGTCATGAAAGTGTTTTGGGAAGGCATTCTCTTCCTTGGCGCTTTCTGTTTGCTTGTTTGGCTGTGATAGGGTATCATTTAGCCCAGGTTAGTGTGGACATTGGTGGCTGATGATGCCCTTCTAGTCTTGATCACCTCCCAAGGGCTGACATTACAGACTAGCAGGTGCCTTTCTTATTGTTCCTTAGACTTTACAGAAAAACCTTTGAAAGACTGTAGCACAATGTTTACACTGTACATACTTAAGGCGGATTACAGGAGCATGGTGCGAAATGCTCTGGCCCAATGTCCACGCCCAGACAAATGTTGAAAACCTTCATCTAACTAATCCAAGTAATTACCTTTTATTAGTTTAATTCAAAATAAATTTGTTGCTTTAAAAATTCACTCGCCTTGACTTTTTATATCTTTCCTACAAAAACTGAGGGTCCTTTTATGTCTGGATCAAAATTTTAAACAAGACGTTCCCTAACTATTCAGAAAATTCCTTCTTGCCAAATGCATTTCCCGTGGATCCCCATTAACAGCTCAGACTGTCCGTGAGTCCCCAGCATCCTGCTTAAGGACTGCCTCGGAGCACAGGAGGCAGACGGTATGCCCTATTATATTTGGAGTTCTTGCCTCTCTAAGGACAGCACATCTTTGCTAGGAACCATGGCTGTTCCACGTCCATGGATACCTCCAGCCTTAGCTTCAAGGGAGGCCTGTCATAGTCAGTGTGGCCTCGGAAACAGTTCGGCAGCTACAGCACACTCTGTCTAGCTTTCCTCACTCTCAGAGCTGAGAGAAAGGTCTGGGGGTAGTATCCACTCACTGCAGGCAAAACAGGCGTGCAGAGAGAGGGACAGGATGAGGCGCGGGGCAGTAGGAAGACAGGCCATTTTGCCTTTTGGAGCAGGATTCCTGGTAACATTAGAAAGCATAGGAGGAAGGGAGGAGCGTGACGATCCTGGCAGGAAGAAAATATTTCAAAGGCAGACTTATAAGCCCCACATTTGCCCTACTATAGTGTTGAAACAATAGACCCCAAGAAATTGGAATTCCCCCAGGAATCTCATGCTGGTAGAAGAAAAGAAAGTTGACACATGGTGCCAGCCAGAAGGGGAAGTGGCATCCTAGAAAGAGAATTTACTTAGCGCTGACAACAGTCAGAGCCGGACAGTAATGATGGCCTGGACCACACCTTGACCACAGCGTCTCCACTGTGCATGCCTCTTGCTCTCTATTTAAACCTAAGTTTCATGTCAGGACCTTAAAGATGTAGCTGGAAGGGGCAGGCTAACTAGATCTCTCTGTCCCTGTTTGCGACATGGGTACAGGAAATAAATGTCCTTTCTCTGCTTTTCACTATTCGTTATTCAATCGTCCCATTAAGGAAAGGTGACCTACCCTGGCTTCTGGGGGCTGTCAGGGTCCAGGCCTGGATGCCCTTCTGTCAGAGGATAGCCATCACACAGATGAAGACATGTACTGCTCTAATTCCAGTGTCCAGCATGCTCAGGAACAGGATTCGCGCTTCCCTGCCCTGCCTGGGCTATTCTTCACCTCATGCGTTATTTGACTGATGTCTCTTTTGCTAAAGAGACATTCCCTCCATAATACCCTGACCAATGGCTACTAATTAATCCTTTCTCCACATTCTGTCCCCTGCTCTGACACATCAAGCACACCAAGTCATTTTAAAACCAGGGTTCAACTTCCTGGTGGAAGGTAGACCGGACTCATTCAGGTCCCCTTTCCTCCCAGCCAGCATATAATGCCCTCTGGCTTCCCTGTTTGTTCAGGAAGCAGGTAGGGCATTTCAGAACGCCAGTTCAGCACTGTGGGTTGCATCCCAATTCATGACTTCTTGGTTGAAGGAGTCCGTGAGAAGCACTGAGTATAGGCATTCGCTTTGCATATAGAAACAGGGAGAGCCAGCTAAGATTTACCTTGAAGCTTCATATTCCTTTTAAAGAATTGAACCTGTACTTGTTCAGCTCAGAAGGTGACTTCATGGTACGGGCTCCATAAATCCTATTGTAATCTTAAATTGTAACTTCTCTTTTGCTAGACACAGGTTTGCTGAACAAACACAGCTACAGGGGCAGTATACACATGTAGCCTTTTTAAGGAGCATGAGTTTGGGTTACCTGCAATCACTATTTTTTTTAATAAGTCTGTATCTACTAGAGAGAAGATAGTATCTCTGTTATACATCACATACAGTCTAGAAAACAGCTAAGTAGTAGCAGTGCAGAAACCCCACCTCTGGACAACTGAACCCCTTTCTTTCTTTAAGCATATAAGGGACTAGCAAAAAGAGGAATGGTAACAAAATGTTAACAGTCAAGTCAGAATCGTTTTAAGCAACTTACCTTTGTTATTGTACACATCTAAGTAATTTGGTGCTGAGAAAATTGTAATCAGAGAAGGGAAGCCTGTTGTTTGGCTTTTCCTGTACATGCGGTACCTACAGGCAACAAACACAAGGTAAGGGGAATGAGCACGGACACCCAACTATCTACATCTGCAAACAGGAACTCAGTTAAGTTCCGCCTTTCAAAGAGGATCCAATGACATATGCTAAATCAAATCTCTCTAAGTCTTTTGAACATAGGCACGGATCTATTTCAGGAGCAACAGGAATGCAAATCTCCAATCACATGTGTGGTGTTCCAAATGGGTAGCTTTTAAACTTAGCAAGCCTCAGGGGTGGGTGGAATCCAGAAGAAGTATAATTCACTTCCAGGTGTTCAACAGAAAACATACAGGCTAGAGTTTTCAGAGACCGGCCAGTCCAGAGAGCTGAGACCCAGGCCAGTCATTCTACAAACCATTCTAGACAAGGTTACATATAAACCTTCTACTTGAGTGATTTCGTAGGATACAGTGATACTTTTTTCCTTCAAGAATGTCTCATCACATCTATGAATTTTGCTAATTGAGACATTCTATTTTAGAATTGTCTGTATTATCGGTCTCTGCTGGTGTCTGCACAGCAAAGGTTATTGTCTCAGCAGGGTGAGATTTGATCAACTGGTAATGAACAGAGCATCCATGAGAACTTCTGAAAAGAAACCACCCTATTACTTCTCTTCTACCAGGACAAAAATAATTCGCAATATAACACTTCAATTATCTATCGAAAAGAACAGGAGGCAGGGCCTCTTTTTCCATCCCCACGAAAATGTGTCTCATGATTTCTGTCTTATGAATTATAAATATTAACTTAGAAGCATTCATATACAACACAATCTTATCGTTTCTTCATATATATATATATATATTTAAAATTTTTGTCCTTTTCCTTTTCCCTGGTTGCTGAGTTCTAAGAGTTGCCCAAATAGCACCTTTACATGGACAGCCACTTTAATGGTTTAAATTCTAAACAGATTTTGATTTTTTTCTTTCTGGAAATACTCAGACATTGGCTTTTCCCAAAAGAAACACCCAATTAAAAACCTTTTAAAATATTTCCGATGTATTTTGTTATTGAGTTATGCTTTGTTTGGGGTAGGGCAGGGGTTGTCATAGTGTTAAACAATAATACACCCTTTCTTCCCCAAAGGAACAAGAAAACTTTATTAAAAGACTAATTGACTATCTATCAGATATGCTGCGAGCAAGCTGGGGCTTCTCAAGGGAAGAGTAATTGGTTATGACACATATTCCTACTAGTACTTGGACTTTATAAGGTGAGGTTGCTTAGGGCTACTTCAAGATTAAGTAAATAAAATAAATAACGAAACTACACGACATGTCCTCAACTTACCCAAACAATTAAGAAACTGCTCATTTTAAACAAAAATATTTGATGCTAATTGACTTTAGCCAGTTAAGTCAACTGTGTCCAAGTAAGCAATCTCAGGTATGCAATGTGATTAAGATATATCTGTTCTAAATGTCTAGCTTGCTGGAAAACAAAACAAAACAAAACAAAACAAAACAAAACACCAGGAATAACATGGACTCTGCACCCCTGAGCTCAAACAGCTCTGAGGGTCCGGGCATTGTGTGGATGAACAGGTCACTTCAAGGGTCAGCGATTATACACTGTACGATGCCGGATTAGCTCCTACCTCCCCAGGCACTGCTTGGAAGGGACTTTAGCTTCTGTCATGTGCCAGGGACAGGTGCCACAGAGGATACCATGGAGAAGCATACACACCCTGTTTCAGCACGCAGGTTTTAAAAAGGAGTGCTTTCACTTTTCAGAAAAGGGCAAAATTCAAAAGGATGAGTTTGTTTCTTTAAAGGCAAGCAAAGGCCTTCTCTCTCTCTCTCTCTCTCTCTCTCTCTCTCTCTCTCTCTCTCTCTCACAAAACATTGAGGTAAACACTTGACATTTCTTGGTTTTCCAAACTCTTAAAACTAGGTTTTAAGAATTCACCAAATAAAAAATTAATTCTGTGGAATTATTTGACAGTCAGAACATGGTATTATTATTTTCTATTGTTCAATTAATTTCCTAATTTTCCCCCTATAAAACTCTACAAAGAACAGGAGTGGAATCCTTTAAAACAAGCCTACAACTTATATAATAACTTCTAAATATCTGTGACTTTCATCCACACTGGTTCAGAGACCGAGAGGTAGCTGCTGGTTTTCCTCCTTGGTACATAGTGATTGCAAGAATTGAAAGAAATAAGGGGAGGTGCCTCTAAGAAAACGAGTCCTTAAGAAAACAAATGGAAACAGATTTCTCCCCTCTAAAGATAGAGGAATGTTAGAGAGGAATTCCCCAGACCTCAGCAGTCACGTAGCCCCAGCAACTCTGCCACACCTGAGTTGCTACAAGCCCATTTTAAAACAAGTTCCTCCTGGAATTGAGTCTGGCCAAACGGACTCTGCTGGGCCTAAGCTGGGTGAGGAACACCTGAGGACTTGACAGCTGTGAGAAACCCTCAGCAGCACTCACCCCGCGTCCTGGGCTTCGTGGGCTCGGAGGATGGACAACAGGTTATTGTGCTGCAGGAAGTCACAGACAGCCGGATAACTGCAGACACGGAAAGAAAAGAGAAGCGGTGGTTAGGAGGTCTTCAGGTGTCGCCACATCACTGGGACACCCAGGTGATGCTGGGATCCACAGCACTCAGGAAACAAGTCTCTTGGCTCTGGGGACAGGTGTGTCCCTGAGGCAGCTAAGGCACACACATGTGGAAGGGAAGAAGTTGCTCCTGAAAGGCATCCTCTGACTCCCACATGTGTATCTTGGTGTGTACACCTGTGCTCACATACCCAGTATCACATGCCCAGAGTAATAAATAAAATGAAAATTTAAAAAAGCTTCAATCTCCAAATGCCATTATAACTGAAACCCAAATTACAAATTGAAACTTAAAATACTGCCTATAACCACTATACCTTTATTCTAAGACACCTTGAAATAAATTCAAAATCCATAAGCTTTTGAATTTAAATTGGAAATTAAAATTAAGGTCAGAAAAACCAGTATTTTATGAATAAACAGACAATATTCACTATAACTTAAAATAACACACCTGATATATTGATAATAAAAAAAAAGAACTACTTTGGAGAAACAATTTAGTATACAGGACAAAAATAGCAGAGAAGACAAATGTAGTTTCTATGCTATATACTTGCATGAATTCTCCAATCAACAGGAAGAAAATACTTGTAAGATGGTACATGCCTAGGGACATCAATTGTTTGATGTGTAGTAGTGACGGTCAGCTTGACAGGCACTAGACACATCCAGAAGACAACTGGGCATGTCTGTGCCGGAGGTTTTAACATTAGGTTTATCAAAGTGAGCAGATGGACCCTAGCTGGTAGCACATTTTTTGGGAGAGGGTCCTGGCAGGAATAATAAAATGGAGAAGGCCACGAGCTGAATGAGCATCAGCATCAGCCTCTCTCTGCTCTCTGACTGCAGAGCAGACCTAATATGAGCAGCTGATGGTGCCTCGGGCAACCTGACTCTTGCACTGGGACAGGCTGTACCCTTCTTCCTCCCTCAGAGGGCTCTGGCCTGTATTTTGTCACAGCAGGAGAAAAGCAACAAATACAGATTGCAAGAAAGATTTAGTTCTCTGGCAACAACAGTTCCTTTACAAACTGTAAAGAGTTTTGGGTTCCTCTGTGCACCCATGTGTGTGTGCCCTGGGCAGCAGATTCTCTGACTCTGCAGAGGCGAAATGTGGTAACCTATTAGAGCAGGTGATGGATTGTTCCCTTTGCCAGAAGGAAGGGCAGGCTGTGCAGTGTTTTATAAAATGGACAGAAACATTGAGTATGATAAAAAAAATTAAAAATCTACAGAGGAATAAAATGTACTGAAGATAAAATATTCCACATGTTATATAGACATTACAGAGTAAGGCATTACCACATCCACGTACCCACCCTGCACCTGTTGGCCATGGAGAGAACACTGTGAATGTGATCTTGCAAAAGTTCTTCTCGTGTTGGATGGGGATCAGTAGATAGGAGAGGATTAGAAGACCCTGCTCTGAGGGGGTTTGGAGACTGAATGTGAACACAGAAGGCTAAAAGAACATGGAGCAACAGTAGACAAATTGTACTGAGCTCCTTGTTTCCTTATTTACGGTCCTCTAACATCAACCACACTTTGGACTCTGAATCAAATACCTTAGACCTTTTCATCAAGATTTTGCCTGCAGGTACCACTACAATGGCATAAGCCCTGGCAGATACTTTCCCTGGGTGGTTTTTCCTCCTGAAAAGACCAGTTCCTCCACTTGAGTTATGTGACCCTGTAAGGTGACTTCCTGTCAAGCCCACTTCACCCCCAGGCCTGCAAAACTGCTGCCTCCCCAGCTGGCACCTTGGACCTACCCGATCCTTATCACAGGGTTATGCAAAGTATGATTAGAGATCTGCCCTTTAGCTACAGAACATTCCAGCAGAGGGAATGTGCTGCTCTCTCCACTCCCTCTTCAGAGTGCTTAGCAACAATCTGTCACCTCCTGGAGCTCCTGTGTAGTCACTTAAAGAGCCTCAGCAAGGGCAGTCACCTGTGGGGAGATGCGGAGGGTGCTGGTCTTCCTGCCCCTGAGCCCTGGACACCACGGTGTAGGCAGGAAGCTTCCCCCTCCTGATGCTTTTACCCCTTGCAGCCTGCCCAGATACTCCTCTCCTCTGCTTTTGGGGCCTAGTGATGGGTACTCAACCCAGCAGTACCCTGGGGCTTCCTCAGCCTTCTTTTTCTAGGACTTTCTGGTCTCTCCTTTGTTCCAGGGTCCTCTAAGGAATTTAGAATTGAAATGCTAAGGCTTCCACTTCCTGCCAGACCTTCCGCAGAACATAGCCCTCACTTGGATCTGGATATGTGGCAAGCAGTTGCTACTTAAGCAAACTCTTACTCTGAAGAGCTGGGGACCAAATACAGGTCTTATGTACACTGGGCAAGTGCTCCATCACTGAGCTACATTCCTAACCTGGAGCAAATGTTTTATTGAAGTGAAATATCTATATATAAAGGTCATAAACCAGAAGATGGCATCCCTTCACACGAAGAACACTTTCATACCTCATACCTACGGCTCAGACACATGGACCCTCCTCAGAGCTGCCACCCTCACGCAGGGTAACAGGCACCTTGGCTTTCGATGTTAGAGACTAGTTTTCTTGTATGCAGAATTCAGTTCATTGTACCTGACTGTTGACTTCTTCTCATCATCATATTTATGTTATTCATCTATGTTGGTATGTGAGGTTTTGTTTAGATTACCCTCATTTGCTATAGTCAGCACTTTGTGCATATATGTGACTTATAATAGTCATTGTGTGCGCGCACACACACACTGAGTATACTCTAATCTGTAAAGAAGGTGCTATTTCTACCTTTATCCGTACATCTTGATATTATATAGTTTATGATTCTACTAAGCAGGTGTTTGGGTGTCTCCATTTCTTGGCTCTCATGATTACTGATGCAATGAACAATTTTATGCTTGTCTTCTGAATGGGGTAGAGGAGACAAGAAGGGCAGGGGGCTTTAGAACTGGAGGGATTTGAGCGTGGTAAGGAGTTGGAGGCTGCTGCTGTGGGCTTCAAGGCTGCAGGCACAGCCACGGGCACGCTAATACTCATGGGGCTCAAGTGGGCTGCAGGTGCAGCCACTAGCACACTAACATTCACATCGGTGCAACCCCAGACTAGGTCCTCAATATGCTGGAATGCCCTAACTGAACTCAAACAGGATAAAGCAGAAGGCCCAGAATACAGTGCTTCCATGATGTACTTGTTGTAGACACAAACTGGTAACCAAAGACCAAAACTCCTCCCCACTTTTCTGACTTTATCTCCCATATGTCATGGACCACAATAATCTCCAGTCTGATGCTGGCCCACATGCAGTATCTCAGTCACCTGTCTGAACAATGTGGGCATTTGAGGGTGTAAGCTATGGTCTGTGATTATGAAGTTAATGGAAATATTGGGGGTGGAGCAGCCAAGGAATTTTGGTTTATACCAGATACTTTTGTCCCATTCAAGAGTCACTAGGATAATACTGATTAAACTGTAGGGGAGACTCAGCCAATCACCTTGCTTGTAGGGCGGGGTCCCCCGAGGATATTTTTACTTATAAAGATTGCAGGCGTGCTCCCCGCCTTCCCTTTTGCTTTCCTGTTCTCCCCCGGAACTTCTGGTTCTGTAAGTCTATTTCCCAATTAAAGCTGTATATATCATTACAATTTCTGTCTGCCTTCATTTTAAGCCGCTACATTAAACCAAAAGAGTCACAAAGAATGCCAAAAGCCATGAGTCTGGGAAAGGGACAGGCATGTGAGGCGACAGGAGCAGGAGGCAAATAAGAGAGGCTGGTGTGAGAAAGCACCCAGAATCCACTACATACATGCATGGCACTGCTAGGAACTTAATTAAAAAGCGAGGGGAAAAGCTCTTCTGATACATTTAAAGATATTTAGATTTCTTTCTCAATTATATGTATGTGTGAATATATGTATATGCAGGCATCCAAGGACGCCAGGCTTGCCTGATCTCACTGGAGCCAGGCTCACAGTGGTTTGGAGCCACCAGATGTGTGTGGGTGCTGGGATCTGAAGTCAGATCCTAGGCAAGAGAAGTAGGCACTCTTAATTGCTGAGTCATCTCTCCAGCCCTATCCTGATGTATTTTTCTGGATGACTATGTGCTATTTAAATCATAGCCCAGATAATATGTTATACAGTCAAAAGGGTGGCATATCAAATTAAATATCCAGACTACATAGGGACATGCAAAATAAAAATAAAATTGTAAGTCAAGATAATTGACAGTTAACTCCAAAGGGATGCAACCACTAAGCTCTTTAGCTAATTTTACAGTCACTTGTACCTGTCTAGACGAACTTTAAAGCGTGAACTTAAAAGAATGTCTCTGATCCTTTCAAGGTGACTTTAAAGACAAAAGAATTAAAAAAAAAACCTCTGTGCTAATGGTACATCCTTCTTTCCCTTTGCCAGACTAGAATACCCAGAATCCTCTGCTAACAGTCAGTGTCACAAGTTCTGGATTCAGACATTCTGCTCCACAGCAACACATCTGTCAAGATCAAAGGCCAACATCTGTGAAGAAACATATGATCTGCACAATTAAAGTGTGAGAATGTGCTTAACTCTAACCATCTGTGTGATAGATAATATTGTGTCTACATTTACAGAATGTAACAGTTTGAAGGAGATGACCGCCCCATAAGTTCATGAGTGAATGCCTGATCCCCAGTTGGTAGAACTGTTTGGCAAGGATTAGGAGGTGTGGCCTTGTTGAAAGGGGTGGCCAGTCGGCGTGGACTTTGAGGTTTCAACAAAGCTCACAGCATTCCCAGGTAGCTCTCTGTGCCCCGTGGCTATCTCAGCATGCAAACTCTCAGCTACTTCTCCGGTGCCATGCTAGACCGCTGCCATGCCCTCAACCATAATGGTCGTGGACTCACCCTCTGAAATTGTAACCCTCCCCCAAACTCTTTTCATTAGTTTCTTTAGTCATGGTGCCTTAGCAAAATGAGAAGGACTGTATACTGTGTAAGTGTACTCCAGTGTCATTCAGAATAAGGTTTGCCTGGATGGCTGGCCCATTAGATTGACAGCAGAGTGCTACACTATAGATAAATCCAATATGAGTCAACATGATAATCATGTCTAGACTTTACAGTGTTATTTTAGTGAAACACAACAGGTAACCTGGAGACCTATACGTAATTGGGGCATTTAATACCAGATTTGAAAGGTCTAACGTTGGGCTTTAATTTACTTCAAATACCTCTTTTCTATAAGGACAAACATCTTCATAAAATGTCATGCCTAAGTTAAGTGATTATTGACAGGAAGTTTTAAGCTTTCCAGAATTATAGAACATTTTACCGACATATAACTCATCAACACTTGTGCCTCTTCCAAAACATAAGATAATTTGCAACCTGACATTTTGGTTCAGAATAAGCTTCACTATTATTATGCAAAACAGAACTCACCCCCACAATTATGGTTTCCAGAAAAGATGACTTTATGTTCAAAATGAATTTCCCAATCATACTAACAAATGAAAAAAAAATTCATCTGTAATAAAATTTAATGCATAGAATATGTTCCACTATGGAATAGGAAACTTACACAGAGTACACTATCAGCTTGCTGTAGACGTGGGAGGTACGTTAATGAATTGTTTTTACAGAGGTTTTTAGACTAAATCATTTCATGGAAATGAACATTAGTTCTAGGGAACATCAGGGGTATTATTTTAAGTTGAAATAGAAAATTAAAAAAGAAAACAGAATGTGTTTTAGAATTTAAAGTTCCCCACTTTGTTTTCATATTCTATTTCCTTGTAGGAACAGTTCCCACCATTACATCACACCGGAAGGGACCAATCCAAGTGTAGAATACCATGTGCAGCAGACAAAGCTGAGGGTAAAAGGTCAGGAAAGTGGCTCGGACACACAGAACCCCAAATGCCCTACAGATTCCTTTCTGAAGTGACTGGACATCCAGGTCCCACTTGCACATGTAAAATGCACTATTAAGACATTTTCAATCTGACTTATCCAAGTGCTAAATGTGAACCCACCCACCCAGTTACCTAGATACTCTGTAACTGGTGGGTCCCAGCCATCCAGGAAGCTGGAAACATTTTAAACTAATCTGAGGATGAGTATGATTTCGTCAGTCAATGAGAGGTTGGTTTTCTGATTTAAGTTATACAAACTGGTGAAACAAGAGTATGTTTATGGATGAAAGAAAGGAAGGCCAGTAATGAGACCCTCTTGCAGTTCATGGAGTAAAGACCATTTTTAGTATATTTTATCATCAGCAGCAGCCATCCCCTGTCCCAGTACCTGCCTTTCATTTCTTTCATATTATTCACAGAATTCATATACATATGCCTTTGTATGCAGGTATACATTTTTTTATATCTGTGTAGTTACTTATTCCTTCATAAACCCCAAAACTGTAAGACAGACAGGTTCCTCCTCCTGTGAGGGAGACCCAGGTCCTCACCTGTAGAAATACGAACATCCCCTGACTGTGTTGTGAGTGAAATGTTCCTGAGTCTTCTCATTCCCGAAGTCCTCCAGGGGGTCCGACCACAGGATGTCACACATGGGCCCATAAGCAGGTGGTTCTTTGAATCGGTCTAACTAAGAAAAATAGAAGACAGAGAACAAAATACTCATCTTTGGACACTCAGAATTCAGAACACACAGGAAGGCAGCTCTGAGTGATGACCATCCGCTCCCACCCCTCAGCCTCAGACGGGAGAAATGGCATCCACTCCTCTTCCAGTCCCCACTTCATCCCAATTCATCTTACTTCTGGGTTTTTCCTCTCTTCTTCCTCATGATGAAATAAATATACCCACGTAGTCTGTGCCCTCACCTTCCCCTTTGCCTCTCTCTGTCTATTTAATCCTTACACTTTCCTCTTGTTTTTCTTTTGTCCATTTCCTTTTCATCTTTCTCTCACTTTTTTTCATCCAAATAACACCGTCACTATCATGATTTCAATCTATTCCTGTCTTATCTGTGAAGGAGGAGCTTGATTTTGTTCTGTCTACCACCCGCAGAGAGCTGTCATTTCAAACCTCGATGAGAATCCCTGTCGACGTCCTATTTAACATGACAGAATGATTTTGAGAGTGGGTGGCTTTCGCTTTCTGAGGAGCCACTTGCTTCGTGCCACGGTGATGCTCGCTCCTTAGAAGCCACCTCTGCTTCTAGCTGGAGGGCATGCCACTGTGTTGCTGGTCTCGATGCAAATAACAGCGTGAGAGTAAAAGCGCCCCACATTTCTCTAGACCCTGCTCACACTTCTAGGCGTTAGCATCATTCTTGGGGGCTGCATACGGAGTTAGTTTCCCCAGTTATCCACTGCGTGGTCATCATGACCATTGCAGTCTGTGCAAAACAACCCCAGAAGAAATAGTAATGGTGCCTCACGGAAGAGGATGGTGGTACACGGAGAAGAATCTGTGTTTACTTAATGTGCTTTCATTTAGTTTTTCAAAATTAATTTAAAACATGATGGTGTTATATGTATATTCGTGCACTGGTATGGACATGTGAGCACAGGTGACCCCTGAACCCAGAAGAGGCATCCGCTCCTTCGGGGCTGGGGTTACAGCTGGTGGAGAGCCACCTGGCATGGCTCCTGGGAACCAAACTGCAGTCCTCTGCCACAGATATGTCTTTAGCCCCTTGTTTGACTTTTAAAGAAAAAATAATAGCACAGTTACTTTCCCAGAGGGGGGAAAAAGTGTTTATTCTCTCTACTTCTGAGACTGTAAGTCAGCTGCAGATGAATGACACGAGTTGAATATTTGGCTTCCTGAGATAAAAACAAATATTGATTTCATGGCAATAGATACTTATAAAGTAGAAATATATTTGTGATTTGATAAGTTATTTTCTCAGTTCTATAAATTCTGATGAACATTACTAAGGGAACAGTAAGCAGTACGAAAATGATTATTCATTTTAAAGTTCAGGTTCATTGTTTCTTTTTGTCAATGACTACAGTTTTAACACAAAAGTTAAATAGCTTAGTCCTTTCTGTTTTTTTTTTTTTCCCCCTCAAAATGAGTAAAAAGGGCATAGAATGGATTTTCAGGACTTTCTCCTGTTGGAAGGATGCTTGATACACTTTGCATCTTTCATTTAGGCCCATGAATTTGTCAATGTCATCAAGCACAACACACATGCATGTGTGTGGTTCCCAGCGTCTGTTCGTACAGCAAAGCTGCTTGCTTATAGTGTCCTATTTCCCATTCCCCTGCCATGATAAGCTATATAGTTCCTAGTATACAGGTTGCGTGATGACTTTATTTCATCACTAAACAGGGTGGAAAATACTACTTACTAAATTAATATTAAGTAAAGACAGCTCCTATAATTAACTTGGAACTGCTGCTCAAAATACAAATTTGTGAGGCAGCAATGGAAACATTCAAGCTCAAGAAAATAAAAAATAAAAAAAAATATCAATTGCTGAAATGACATCACTGGGTCTTGTGTATGAATACCCACAGGCAGAATTTGAGTTATGTACACGAGGAATCTTAAGTAAGCTACTACTTGTATACTCATTGGCATCCAGGTTACTGGATGACCTGTTTGAAGCCAGAGTTTACTTCAGCAAGCATATCAGGCTCAAATAAATACTAGACAGCATGTATCTTTCTAGCAAAACTCAGCCGAATTCCAACTTGAGTAGTTGAAATGCAGCAACTCAGAATAATTTCAGTTACTCATTCCTTCTAACGTGACTGGCAAGAATAGTAAAAGGGGGTCAGACTCATCTCCACGCTTGCTTTTCTGCTTGGGAGAGTGTAATCCCCTTTCCCAGGGCTCTAAAAGGCAGGGAGAGGTGACTGAGACAGTCTTTACACATCAGTAATTCCTGCAGAAAAAATGTGGCTTAGGTTTCCTAGCTTAAAAGCTTAGTGGAGAAAATTATATCCAAATTATGATCCAGTATGTTCTATACTTGCACACACAAATGTCATGTGTTAGACAACTACAAGCATATGTGCAGATGGTACAGGAAAATGTTTTTATTGTGCTTTCTTTTGGAGATTTGGGCACCAAAAGTACAATAATATTCTTTTTAATAATCTCCCATGTCTTTTCTTACATTGCTGCATTATTAGAATATAAACACTGAGAAATGAAACATTATTTCTGTTGTGCAGCACTGTCAAGTATTATTGCGTTGTTTTATGAAAAGTAGACAATACACTTCCTCATTCCACCTCAGTTATCCTTCTGCTGGGAAATAACAGCGACAGTAAACACAAAGCCAAAGCATGCTTCGGGAAAAAATGCTGCTACTTTTAATACAGTCAACACAATACTACCTTTGCCTTTGCTAAATGCTGACTGAAATATTATATAGTGGAACAACAACAACAAAGACTATCACGATAAAGACATTTAAAGGTTAAGGTACGCTATTTCTCCAAAGACCAAGCAGCTTTTCCAATTTAACAAACCAGGAACATACAGTGGACTATTTGAAAAATAAGAAAATGAAACTGCCCATATGCGTTAGAGATCAAATATATGATTGTTTCATGACAAATGCCATGTGCTCAGCCAAACCCTGAGGGTCTAGAGATGTAGCTTCTCTTTAAGATAACAACATGATATAAGTCAGGGAGATGCCAGTGCGTTCAGTTATTTTAAATGAAAACAATGCAAGTAGTGAGAGGGGTGGGACCATGAGATCGTCCAGTACCTGCTGGAGGACAGAGAACGAGCAGACGCGGACAATAATAGAGCTTACTTTTCTGATGTCATCTAGAGTGTTAATCTCTGGGGACAAACCACCATGGACACACAGGAACTGCTGGTTCATCAGTGCAGCCAGGGGAAGGCAGTCGAAGGCGTCCATACAGGCGTCATAAACTCGTTCTGAATACTTTATTTTACCTTTGAAATGCAGTGAGAAGGAAAAAGTTACTGTCATGCCTTTGTCACGAAGAACATCTTATTGAACTCGCTTTGGTTCTTTTCAATGTTTTCTTGCCAGGATAATATGAATGTGACCCTTCCAAACAGAATCAATATGATTTCCAAGACTCATGGATTAACCTTCATAGACAATATTTTCTATTTCTGCTATTTCTCCATATTGTTTACGTTTTATAACTTTTGCCTATAAATTCAAGACTTTTTACAAACCTTATGTGTACACACACACACACACACTTGAATAAGTGGAAGATAACTGAAAGAGAGCCATAAAGCTGGTTGATATTTCCCATAAGATTTTGGAGAAAAGCCATAGCCAAGAAACTTTATGAAGCTTTTTCTGCATCACAGAGTTCTTATTTTCCCCATATTGACTCACAGCTAACGTTTTTAGGAAAGTCTTTGTGCTTCACTGAATATAAAACCAAATTACAGAGAGAAAAAGAATTAAAGTTTCAGTAAACAATGGGGAAAACAGACAGGAGGAAAACAGAACTTATACAAAAAGCCTTCCTTTATCCAAGTATCTATGTCTAAAGAAAGGAATCAGCTCTCATTTGGTCTAATGTCCCAGGGGCTGATATCTATGAGGCTACAATTTGGCCCCATCTTCTTCTCTACTAAAATTCACTTTCCTAAATAGTAGCTGTGTACTATGACACACATGAAACTTTAGCTCAGATTAAAAGGCCACTTGATAAAACCTACGCTTAAAAAAAATACATTCTGGTTCGATCTTATGCAGGCCTTGTATAGGCTACCACAGCCACTGTAAGTTCACGAGTAAGTGGTCCTGTCATGCTCAGAAGAAATTGTTTTGTTCTCTACTTCCCTCTTGCCTCTTACAATCTTCCTGTCCCTCTTCTAGCATGGGAGCAGAAAGGATCCATGAGTTCCGCATTACCTGGACAGCTGATAGCCTCTCCAGGAGAATGAGTTAGTTTTTGTTAAGGGTGTAGCCTAGGGTAAGTTGATGATGTTCTATTGGATGGGCCCACATCTAGGAATATATGAGCAATATAAATTGGAAATGGAAGGTCAGATAAAAGACAAAATTCTGGGTGTAGTGAACCAGGGAGGAGTTAGAGGGTAGGGTGGAGAGTCCATATGACCAAAGACAATTGTATGCTATTCTGTAAGAATGAAAACAGAATATAAAATTAAATGTTTCATTAAAACTGCCCGTGTTGAGAAAGATGATATGAAATGTCACCTAAAGCTTTGACCTTTATGCAGAGAATAAAAACATAGTATGTTTTCATTTGCCAGTTAAAATTATAATTTAGTACATATGACATTAAAGGAAAAAGTCGCAGTATACTTACATTCTTGTTTAAATGTGAAATACTCTGTTAGATGTCTACATTCATGATTTCCACGAAGTAAAAACAGTGTTTTGGGGTAAAGAATTTTCAAGGCCCACAAATACAGCACACACTAAAGAAAAAAAAAATAAACAGAAAATAAGCACCTTCCATTGTATTCGCTCATTTCATCAATTAACAAGAACTCAATGTATTATGGACAACCTTCTCAACTCAGGATACTGAGAAGCAAAGAGAATACAACCTAAGGTACCACTTGCAACGCCTCTCTCGGCATCTGATTAGTTTTTTAAAAGTTACATTTATTTATGCATCCTTATGTAAGCATGAGCACATGAGAGGAGGACAGTAGACGCCACACTGGAGACGGCTTTCTGCTGGACTCAGGTGGGCAGGGGCAGCAGGAAGCGCCTTTACCCACCGAGCCGTATTGCTGGCCCTCATCTTGTCCTTTATTTCAATGCCTTTGTGATACAGAGCGGAGACCTACAACTTTTTTTAGATAAAATACAATTAAACTGAAGAGCAGGGAGTCTCAACACATTCACTACAAAAACAGGGAATACATGGTTTGCACCTTAAAACTCTCAAATTAGTTAATTGGACATTTTAGATTGTGTGGCGGTGATGGTTAGTTACACACGGATCAGGTGTGGAGTAAATATTTGTTGGCACAAACTTTATAGAGATGAGGTATAAGTGGAACAATCAAATATTAATACAAATAATACCCTCAAGTGTCATTCATTAAGAAGCCACACAGAGCAGAAAACGTTTCTTAGACAAAACAAGCATGCTGTCTCCTCTCCATGAAGCGTGTGTTCCCAAAGTGTAGGCAAGGCAAGGACCCCACAGATATACGGACAGACCAGACTCTGATCATGAAAACACACACAATATTTACACTTCTTTCACCAGTCTTCCAACACACAGTAGGCACACTGCGATCCTAAAGAGAAAACTTATAGAAAATGAATCTGCTGGCTACCTGGGAAAGACACTCGCTTGCAAAGGATATTCATCTGATAGCTTCTGTGGTGATTTATCAAAGCGTGGAAATATTTATGCTTGAACATATAGTTCAGGGGTTTTGGGAAAATACTAATTAAAGAGACAAGTGTAGATTACTGTAATGTTCCAACAGGTTATCTTCAAATATGACACAGTGATTGAATTAAAAAAAAAAACAACAGTTTGGCATTAGAGTATGTGTGTGTGTGTGTATGAATGTTTTTCCAACTATAGCCATTAGCTAAAGCTCATGTTATTAAGATATTAACATAACTGAAGAGCTGACCAACTATCCTCCATGAGTGGCCCTTGAAGCAGCATGACCCTCTATGCCTGCAAATCTCCGTGCCATCTCAGTGAAGAGTGAGGCCGCCTAATAAGTCCTTGCTAGGAATCCTATTTTAGAACTACAGTTACATGTTTAAATAAAAGGTGTTTGTACGATTCAAATTCACCTCATTATTTCAGAGAAGGCATTTACTACATGCCATGAAGGACAATGAGAGGCTTGTTACCAGTTCAACGTTGTGAAGATTGCCCCTTGACGCAGGTGGTGTGTATGTACACACATAACTACTTGTAAGCCGGCAGTTAAGTAGGAAGGCCTAATTTGGAAGAGGAATGGTTATATAAAGACCCTTTAAACATATGCTAACAGGTGCTTAAGAAGCAGTATGCCAAAAAGCACTAAAGCCTTACTTGGACTCATCAGTTTGCTATAAGCAGTCTAGAAGGCTGGCATCCCTGCCTGCATCTTACATTGTTGCTTTGTCTTCAAGCTTCAGACCAAAATCCTCCTTAACTTTGCACACTGGCATGTTAATCACTCCTATCGGTGTTAGGCCAGTACTACCCAATTGCCTTGACGGAGGACAGCACACAGGTGACAGGAACTGAGGCATCTTCCTGTCAGGTCTTACCATGTCCTTGGGGTCAGCCATTGTCCTAATCCTGCAGTTACACCAGCTTCAAGGACCAGCAGGGTTTGGCAACATATTATCCTTTGAGGAGCTCACCCTCAAGCAGGGGCGGTGACCACAGGGAAGCTGGGTTGTTCTCTCAAGCAACAGAGCCAGGGAGACTTGCAGAACAAGCAACAGGAACAAGCACAGAGCCAGGTCTGCTACAGCCAGACCTCAAGGACACTGGGATTTCCTTGCTGTGTGGCACCTGCCCCGAAGCCAATTCTCCCACCACTTAAACTTGAAACTCCTATCAGTATCCTGAAGACTGACTTGCGGGTCATGAAATTTCTTTTCTGTTCCTCTCCCCAGTGAGCTGTGTCGATTCAAAGTCTTGTTTTCTGCCTTTTACTCCTGGTCTCTGTAACTGGACAATCACGACAGGTGGCTGGACCTAGTCTACTGTGAGTCCTGGGCTTTTGCTTTAGAGTCTAGAACACATGCACTGCCGAGGTTCCTACCCGAGTGTGTTTTATTTACAGTTCAGTGAGAGTGCATAAGGTCTAGCTGGTTAGTACAGATTTCTTTTTAAGTTTTTGAGTACAACTCACATAACACTAGATGAACATTTCACATACAACTCTATGAAAATTTACACATATGCACCCCATTAAACCACTACATGGACCTAGAACCTACAACACTCTCACGTTCCCTCCTCATGACTCACTTTTTGAAAAATTTAGCTGAAATTCTGACCTCTTTAGATTCATTTATTTCCCTATCACAATTCATTTTAAAATAAAGCAATTATCTCTCCATCTAAGATCTAAACTGTATTTTGCAAGCCCACTCAACTACCTGGGAGGCTAGAGGAGTTGTATCTGAAGACCCACGTTTTCTTTTTGGCAGTGCTTAGAGATGTTATTCCATCCGATACTAGCACGCAGCCTTTTAACTTTACCCCTCTAGTCTTAATTACTAAAATTCTTTCCTAACTGAAACCATCTAAGCGATATTCAGAAATGTTCCATGCTAAATATTCCTAGTATCTATAAGTGTACATTTAAAAATGATGTAATGTACAACTCCTTTATGGATGTAAAATACGGAACATGTGATTAGACGCTTGGGATATATTAACCCTGTCTTTGAAGAACAAAAGGTGGGGACAAAAGAGGGGGGGGAAGGAGAGGGACAATAAACAAAAACAAAAAAGAGGAAGAAAAAACAAGGAGAGAAGGGGAAAGAAGAAGAAAAATAAAGGAAGAAAAATAACTCAATTTTCCAAATTCTTGCCTCAAAGTATTCTCAAGTGCGAGTCATTTTTTTTTCCACACATTATTTCCTTTTCTCCTGTGGCAAGCATAAAATATCTTCCAAACACTAAATAAGACCGCAAACACAGCCAGCATGGAAGAAATGGCATGGTAAATGAAAGGGCAAGGGTGGACTGGAGGGTGGAGCCCTGCCAGCCTTCACCCTCAACATCTGCTGGGGAGGACTGCCAAGCATAGCAGCAAGGTCTTCTTACTGCCGGCTGCTTTGTCATATAAAGTCCCAGCCTTCTGAAAAGCTGAAGCTCTTTACAAAACCACGACCTCAGATTTGTTGTAAAGTACAGACTCGTTAAAATTATCACAAGCAAATGAAGCGAGAGGAATCAGTGTCACTCAGGTGTCTGCTCTGTTAGTGGGCAATGGCCGTGAGCCAGCATTTTACTGTCTGAGCTAGTTAAGGCAGGAAGAGCACGAGGTTCCATGGACCCTTCTGCATAGTAAGGATGTAAATGAGCCATAGCAATCACTTCAAATCACCTTAGCATTGCTACTGCTAACTAAACAAGAATTCACAACTTCTAGTTAGAGTTACTCAACATGAAAGATTACACCGATTTCTATCATAGACATAGTTTTGGCCAATTTATGACTCATTCTTAATAAGGCAGCAGTAAGAACATTGTCCTCTTCGTCCACTGATAAAAAGTGCTGTGATTTACTAAGTAATTTAAGCATTTAGATGGACAGCCTTCTTTCAAAATTGCATGAGAGTTCTTAGGAACTGCAAGGCGGCATGAGAGGCAAGAAAGTGAAAAGGAGATTACAGTTTTAGCTACATACAGACATGCTCCCTGAACTGGTAACTACTTATGCTTCAAAATGTCCTGATCAAAAAGGATGCTTCTGTGTCATGGACGGCCAAGTGCAGGCTATCACATAAACCTGGAAAGGATCCAAACTCCTGCAATATGGAACATGACTCCTCTAAGACACCACCTGTCTGGTCTGACAAGCACACCATGAAGTGGCCGTCCAAGACCAGTGCCCTATCAGGACCGCTGGCTCCCAAGCCTGGTGGCTCTGCTTTGTCACCTCCGCCATGTGATCTACTGCTTGCTTCTTATTTTCAGGTGGCAGACAGAATGCTGCCTGGCTTACTGTGGTTCACACTGACCAACAAGTTCACAGCTAATAAACACAACAACCTTTTACACTTCAGTGTGCTGGAAGCCTTAGAGACCTGGGCTGAGGTCTGCATGAAAGCGTCTCAGGAGAGGCCAGCTCACTGCCACCTCAAGGTGGTGCGCTGCAGAATGCCTGCAGAGAGCCTAATGAAGTAAACACAAGAAAACAGCTGTGCATGACAGGTCTGGAGAGAAACACGCCCAGCTGTGGACCTAAATATACACATAGGCTTGATCAAAGAGACTAGGTAGGGTCATACGCTCATCAGAAGGAGACAGGTTTGGTGTAAGACAAATTACAGTTGAGAACAAAATTACTTCTTCCATCGCTGCTCAAAAGCTAGCTTGTTTGGGGGTTCATTTTGTGGGGAATATAGCACTTTCAGCAGGCCAACCACAGCAGACATCTGGAAATATTCTTAGAGTATTTCATACACATCAATGGTTCCTCATAGTCTGGTGACCTCTGACTATAAAATTATTTTCATTGTTACATCATGACTGCAATTCTGCTATTGTTATGAATCATAATATAAATATCTGATATGCAAATGGTCTTATATAACCCTTGTGAAAGGGTCATTTGACTTCCCCAAAAAGGGGTTGTGACCCATAGGTTGAGAACCACTGATATACATGCTTGGTCTGTTTCAATATGCTGATCATATCAGTTTTAATATGCTGATCGTAACATAGCCACAGAAAAGCTACTCACAGGTCACAAATAGATCAAAATTGTAACCATACTACCACTGAAACATTTTGTCATTTTTGTGTGTATGCAGAAAGTTCATGGGTCTGTACTCATTTTAACCGAGAGCCAGTTATGAAGATGGCATTTTTGACAAATGCATCTCAGCACGTTTTAATGTTTTAATGTACTATGAGACCTACATGGCACATCTTTTAGCTGGATACTTTGATCTTTGTATGAATGTTAAATTTCAAAATGAACACAATAGACAAAATATTGCCACCCTCTTATTTCTACTATCAAAAGCTACTATAGATTCTTTAAAAACATATCCCAAGGACCAAATCAGGGATTTCTACTTTCTAAACTTTTTTTTTAATGGAGCTCTAAAAAACTCTGACTAGGAGATATTTAGAATATTTTAAATGGCCACAGATACAGAGTTGTAGTTTTTGTAGGAAAAACAAACAGAACTAGAATGGATCTCAGTGTTATGATGATACTCCCCTAGTGTACACGAGAGTCTGCTTCAGTCCCTAGCACTCTGAACCTAGAACAGCTTCCATGTCAGGGTTTGGTTCTCTTTAGAGTGTGTATACTCCTAGTTCCTTGTCTAGACTTACATTTCTAGAGAGCAAGGAGATACTTTACATTTCTCCATAGTCAGAATCATAGTGTATGTGTACACATTTATTGGTGACAAAATACTCAAACATGTTTATGCCCATTTATAATGGTTTATATATACATATAAACTATATGTGGACATGTACACATATGAACATACATTCACACACACATATAAAGAGAGAAAGAGTTTCAATTTTTAATTGCAGGTAACTAAATACCCCAAATATCCAGTTGATATATTTGAGGTTGACACACTGTATTAACATTAAATGTCTCTTAAGTAAATCCTTTTTTTGTTTGTTTTGCTTTTTTTGGTTTTTCAAGACAGGGTTTCACTGTAGCTTTGGAGCCTGTCCTGGAACTCACCTTTGTAGACCAGGCTGGCCTCGAGATCCGCCTGCTTCTGCATCCCAAGTGCTGGGATTAACGTGTGCACCACCACTGCCCGGCTTGCAAATCTAATATTAAAATATTTTAAAACCCTTTTCCATATGATGGTTGTGAGTCAATGGTGCGAGGCATCAGCCATACTGCCTTAATACATGGAAATAGTGCTCCTTCCTATCCACTGTTCTCTTAGGAGCACATATTGACTAGTGTCTATGAGCTTCAGCTTCAAAATTTCCTCTTACAGAAACCATGTTCTCTCAGTATAACTGTTGGGCCCTCCCTGAGACATCATGAGACTTGAGTACAAGGTCTTGTTTTTATTTTGAATGTAATTTCTATTCCCTTAAAGTAGAAGATGATGGAAAAGCTGAGGAAGAACCTCTACTCAATGAATATCTCTTCTACTTTGACACATTTCCTAGTTCGATGATAGGTGCCATGATCTAGCAGCTGCCAGTGTCCTCACACTGGTACGCCATCATTCTGATTCCATTTGTTAAAGTGACTTACTCTCATAACCATAAGCCATAGATATGGCAACTCAAGTCCGTTATGCTATCAACTCTAATTAGTTCTTTCAATCAATTTTCAAGAACAGCAAAAGACAACATTTTACCATTTCATCATCCCTCTGCATAAAAAAATACAGGATTATTTATCTCCTTAAGTGTACTGAAATTGATTGCTCCATTCTAGATTTCTGCAAGGTGTTTATTTCCCTATCTTATTACAGTATCAGTGATCCATAACGTGCTAAGAGGAACCCATGTGTACTTACTTCGATACTGAAGTACCCTCTGTCAACATAGTCCCCTAAGAAGAGGTAGCGAGTGTTGGCAGGGGATCCTCCCACTTCGAAGAGCTTCATCAAGTCAAAGAACTGTCCATGGATGTCCCCACAAACTGAAAGATAAAACAGTGTTTATGGCAATATTAGTTTATGTGACTGAGTCATATAATCAAATTTGCAGAGCAGGAGAAATGAGACAGAAAAGCCAAGCCCTTTTGAAGATACCAGAGTTCCTGATTGGCACATCTTGCTCTGTTGTTCAGGTTTCCTAACTCACAACTTCACCAGGAAAACGGTGCTGCTAAGAACAGCAACAGCAATGGATGTTGTAATACATAAAGCAATTTTGCAAGAGATCCTGTTAAGAAATTTGATTTTTCCCAAGTTCCTTCTAACACTGTCATGGGATAAGAATTAATTGTACACATAAGAAAGGAGAAAATGACAGGTCAAGGATCTGGCACAATCTATGTCCAATGGAGGTGGGAATTCTACCCACTATGCATTATTGCTTTGGAAAGAAAAAATGGTGATGTGCATAAGAAATACTATGTTTTGCTAGGTCTAATATGCAACTGACAAATTTAAATACTAAAAGAATGTTTTTCTAAGATATATTATTAATTGTCAAAACATTTTTGTAAAGTATATCTGAGGAACTGTAACTGAATAACATCACTAGGAACTGATATTTCTTAAATTTTCAGTTTTGTAAGCAAGAAGTTTGGAAAGAATTTGGCTTTCTTTTTGTTTGGCACTTATTGCCTCTATAAATGCTGAGACCCTCAAAATTAACCGTATAATGTCTGCTATCTGGAGGAGACATTAACATATGTTAGGTAGTTTGACAAGGTCACAGCCAAAAATGAACAATCAGAGCTTCAAGTCAGATTCATTTGATTAAAAAGGTTTTTTTAATCATCATAGGTTTTTATGTACATACATAAATTATTAATTATTTAGAAATGAACTATGCTTAAATAATGGACATCACGTGGATGTTTCTTCATAGGACGACAATATCTTAACACACTGGATGCAGTGACCACAGGTGAGTTACTGAGACAGGCTGAAGGTCATTATTCAGCAGCCAGAGCCTTCCTACAGAATCCACTGATGAAACACTTGCACAACAATGAACGAAGTTTAGATGACTCGTAAAATCCTACTTTCCACCGTGGAATAAAGACTACGAAGCAGGTATAGGTAGGTGAGGTTTTAGGACATCTGTGCTTAAGAATCTTGGTCTATTAAAATGGTGTAAGCGATTGGTAACCAAGAGTGCTTGGGCACACCTTTTCCGGTTCCAGCCAGAGTCTCTTCCCTCCAGTCAGCAAGAGTCACTGTAAAGTGATCAGAAGCACACTCTTCACTTCTTTGAAGTACGAATTCGTCTTAGATTATTTATCCGCAAGGATAGTTTTATTCTTATGGTTGAATATTTCACAACTGGGTCTTTCTTCTGAAGGACTGAGGAATTGGGGCTGAGACTGAGCACAGCATGCTCTTCTTGAGATACCATGAAGGTCTCAACCAAGAGCAAAGAGAGCAGTGTTTGGGCTCCTATGCTGCCAGGCAAAGAAAGCTGGCTCTGGGGGAGACAGACGACCTCGCATCCACGGGAAGCTACTTAGACAGCTCTGGAAACCCGAAGGTTGGCTGCAGCTAGATCCTAGCCCAAAGCCTGCCTGGGCAACTTAGTGACATCCTGCCTGAAAACAACAAAACCGAACAGGAAAAGGAAAGCAGGGGCTATTGCTTAACAAATTAAAATAAGGCATCTGTCTTATAACTCAACTAAAACTCATCTTCTATTATAATTTTTAAAAGGCAAAGCTAAGACTTATTAACAAGGAGTAAGAATTCCACTGATTTACATTATAGTGTATAGCTGGTACGGTTACTTACAATAACACCAACTTTCTTATGTAGAAGCGATTTTTCTACCTGTTATGCATGTTTCAACCAAACGTTCGTAAAGGAAAAAAGGGTTTGTCTAGAAAATGTGTGTTCACATACATGTGTTCACGTGTCCTTCACTACACCTGCAAAGCAAAGGAAGGGGCTCTACTGAATGCCAGCGCTTATGATCCCAACAGTTCTGCGCTGCCCAGCTACTGCTTCTCTTTGTATGGTGGCTCCCTATTAGGGCATGAGGATTGGTTACTGGAAAAGGTTCAGAGAAAACACGAAGCTACGTGACCGAGTGAGACAGGCTCCAAATATTATTTTATGGTAGTGGCAAATTTAATCATCACATTATAGGCTGTTATTAAACTATCCCCAAGTCAAAACAGTCCGACGAGAACCACAAAAGGAAATGTGGAACCACACTAGCTGGCACGGACCCCTGACCAGCCAGTGCCAACCCCCTGCTGTGTTCTTCACTATCTGAATGACCTTTGGCAGGTTCCTCAAGTTTTGTGAGTCACGACATACTTATATACAAACTTTAGTGACATAGGCCTTAGTCCTTACAGAAGATTATCTGTGAAATTAACCATGTTACTATTGTAACAGGCTTAGGAGTTCCTGGATTTTGGTAAGAACTTGAGAAATGTTACACCACACATCATGTCCAAATGGCTGCATCCGGAACTGTCAAGGTACCAGGCTGAAGGGATTCTCCTGGTTGGGGCTAGAAGGCAGGCCTTCTGGACACATCCCAAAGAAAATGCCTTCTCTCCTCACCCTTCCTATCCTCTCTTTGCATTTTCCCTTCCCATTTCAATTCCTGACCATGCCTGAAAATTCCAGAGTAATGGGTTTTACTTTGCCATGTCAGAAACAGAAATACCAGAATATTCACAGAGCCTGTAGACCACAGGTTAAAAATGAGGCAACTGACACACTGTAGGAGAGTTGGGGAAAAGTAGGAAAACCCATGATGAACAAACAGGTTTAGGAAATGGCCGAGTGAGCAAAGGGCTTGCTGAATAAGCATGAGGTCCGGAGTTTGCATCCTCAGACACCACGTCAAAGAAGCCCATTGTGGTAGCAAGCATCTCTGATCCCGGTACTTCTTGAGATTGGAGGTTGAGATAGAAGGCAATGGCAAAGATACAATGGCAAAACAAGACATCATATCTCAAGGTGCACAGTGCAGACAGACAACTGAGGTCGCCATTTGACCTGCACATGCCTGCTGAGGTTTTGTGCATGCTTACAGTAACACACATGACACACACATATCAAACACACATACACAAAAGCACATGATTAAAAAACAGAAATTATAAGAGGTGATGAAAAACTCTAGACAATTAAAAAATTATAGAGACTACTTTAGTTGGAATCTAGAAACATTGTTGTCATGAGAAATTAATCTTTTATTCTGTTCTACAATCTTGACCACGGCAAGTACTGGATCATAGTTTGATGACATAAAAAAGAAGAAGGCAATTATTAAAATCAAGTGTGTCAAACCTAGCACCCAGACACACATTCACTCCTGGGACTTTTCACATTGTCCCGAATTTTACCTCTCAACACCGCACCACGCTGTTACAGACACAACTGCTTACGATGGTCAGCAAATGAAAACAACATACACACATAATCATGTCTAAAACACTGAAGCCCAACCAAAGCAAACAGAAACTTAAAGCATGCCTGAGAAAGAAAAATCTTTTATAAGGATACATTTTTTTTAAGCCAATGTTTTTACTTCCTCAGACTTCACAGACTGCCTACTTTGCACATCCTCTGCTTAGTCTTTCCAGACTTTCTTACATAAAGAGCTTCTGTCTCCCCCCATTCTTCAACCTTGTGCTGTGATTTATTTTTCACAGTACTTATCATTTACAGTAATCACCTACCTGACTTATTTATTTCAAGTCTCTCCCCAGAGTCTCCTGAGTGGACTAGAACCTCTGCCATGATGGGGAGCAGGAAGCCCTGCTCACTGTATGACGGAGGCCTACAGTAGTGTCTCTATCCGGAAGGTACTCATCCACTCCCTGCCATGGGATTCTGTCACTGAACCTGGGCCAAGCTTCCTTTGGAAATCCATTCGGGAATCGGAGAATTCTCTGAGGTGCCCTTGGGATTGACAGACCCAATGTAAGTTTTGTGACGTTTGTCTTAGTGGAAGATGAATCCTTCAACTACCTGAGACACTCATTGTTTGAAGCCTTTAAACCACAGAATTCTAAACAGACTCTATCAAGACTGGAGTCTTTGGGTATATTCGAAGGATGCTCATTTGTACCACAAAAACAAATGTGCTCAACTAAGCAATATTGTTTGTCATAGCCAGAACCTGGAAACAACCTAAATGCCCCTCAACTAAAGAATGGATAAGGAAAATGTATACTTACACAATGGAGTACTACACAGCAGAAAAAAACAATGACATCTTGAAATCTGCGGGCAAATGGATGGATCTAGAAAACATCATATTGAGTGAGGTAACCCAGACCCAGAAAGACAAATATCATATGTACTCACTCATAAATGGATTTTAGACATAAAGCAAAGAAAACAAGCCTATGATTCATAATCACAGGGAACCCAGAAAACAATGAGGACCCTTAAGAGATACATACACAGATCTAATCTACATGGGAAGTAGAAAAAGACAAGATCTCCTGAGTAAATTGAGAGCATGGGGACCATGGGAGAAGGTTGAAGAGGATAGAAGAGAAAGGGAGGGGAGCAGAGAAAAATATATAGCTCAATAAAATCAATAATTAAATAAATAACGAGTCAAATACAGGGATCTGCAAGCATCTATCTTATAGTGGCTACCTCACCTTGTGCTCCATCAGAATCTCTGAAGATACTGCCTACTAACAAGCTCTTAGATGATTCTTCTCTAATCCATTTAGACTTATACCTCTGAGCATCAGTTTTAGGAGTCATTCTGCATGCTGGTGTGGTTTGCCTCATAGCAGCTATAATTCAGTAGAAGTGTACACTGGAAAGAAACTCTTTGGGGCCCTTTCCAGTTTGGTATGAGATTAGAATTGTACCATTATCTGAAAGAATCACAATGTAGTAATGAATGCATGGAGGTGGAGGAAGGGTCCAAACTACACATGGAATGATAAAATAGGACCTAGCCTCCTGAGGGGACTGTGAGCAACCTAGTGGCTGACTTACCTTTTCAGTG